TAAAGAGTCTGCAACCCCAAATTTTAAATATTTAAAACATTGTCTGTGAATATTCAAGTTCTCTGTGCCTTGTCTCTGTTAAATGGGAATGGATATGAGTGTGGTTGGGTCTCCAATTTCTGTAAGAAATCACACCTTGTAAAGAAGGTGGAGGTGGAGGAAAGCTGGGAGAGTATATTGCCATCTGACATACATCTTATCTTCTGGATTGGATTTGGTCCTTAGGTTTTGCATTTACTGCCAAGCACAGGTGAATCGGGTATGAAGATGCAATTTAAAAAACTATCATATATTAAACTAAAAAATTATCATACAATAAATTTGTTATTTTATTTTCGTGTATAGCACTATAAATTTTAACACATGTATATATCATGTAACCACCACCACAATCGGAATACAGAGTGGTTCCATCACCCCCTAAAACTCCCTCCTGGAATCTCTTTATAGATGCATCCTGGAAGCCACTGATCTGTTTTCCCTCATGATAGTTTTGTATTTACAAAAGTGTCACATAAATGGAATCACACAGTTTGAAATCTTTTGAGATTGGCTTCTTTCACTCAACACTCTGATACTCATCCAAGTGGTTAGATTAATAGTTTATTCCTTTTCACTGAAGAGCAGTATTCCATTACATGGCTGTAGCATCGTCCATTTAATCATTCACCTGTTAAAGTGCATTTCAGTTGTTTTCAGCTCTGGGTTATCACACATAAATCTGCTATGGACATTAGTGTACAGGTTTTTGTGTGAACGTAAGTTCTGATTTCTCTAGGGTGTGTATGTAGGTATGTAAAAGTGGGATTACTTGGTTGTATAGTATGTGTGTGTTGAACTTTATGAGAAACTGCCAAACCCTTTTCCCGAGCGGCTGCACCATTTTTCACTCCCACCAGCAATATAGGAGAGCTCTAGTTGTTCACCACATCCTCACCAGCACTTGGCATCATCAGTACTTTTACTTTTAGCCATTTTAATAGGTGTGTAACAGCATCTCACCATGGATTTAATCTGCATTTCTCTAATGGCTAATGATGTTGTCTGTCATCCTTACGTCCTCTTTGGTGAAGTGCCTGTTCTAGTCCTTTGCCAACTTTTAATTGAGTTGTTTTTATTATTGCTGAGTTTTGAGATTCCTTTATTTAAAGAAGCAATTTATTGTGATGGTAAGAGGAGCTGAGAACAAAAGAGGGAAAATAGAAGAGACTGTCTTTCCACTGTCTGAAGGGTTGGGGAGAGAAAAAGGGAAAAATACAAGCTGAGAAAGAACTGAAGGTATTTTACACCCTCCTCCCATACCTTTCCTGGAAAATAATCGTACTTACTGCTTCATAATCTGCCAGCTCCAGCCTTGCTTTATTCTGCATTGTCCTCTTACAGAGGTAGATGGCTGAAGGAAGAAGAGAAATTACAACATATACAAAACCAGCAGGGTGGTGGAATCGTAAATTCATCCACCCAGTTGTTCATCCACTCATCCATCCATCCATCCACTCATCCATCCATCCATCCACTCATCCATCCATCCATCCACTCATCCATCCATCCATCCAGCCAGCCAGCCATTCCCCTCTATATGCCCAACCCTGTGCAGTCAAGAATATGTTTCTATGTGGAAGCCATGACACCTGACCTCTGGGAATCCGTCTGCAGGTCGGGATCAGATGAGAGCCCCCACCTTCCAATCCTGAAAACCCCCTTCATCCTCCTCACTCTGTTTCACCCCAAGCAGGGCAGAGGCTGTGTCCTGCTCAGCTCGAACCCCTGCACCTAGCACCAGGGCCTGGCCTGCCAGGTGGAATGGGTGGACAGTGGAAAGGGAGGACAATTTAGGTGTCTCTTCCCAGGCTCAGGAAGGGCTCTTAGCCCTCAGTTGCCAGGATATTCTTCCTCAAACGTGGCCTTCATCACTTCCTCTCCTACCTCTGCTTCTTTGGAATCTCCTTCCTTCTCTAGTGCCAAGTAGAATGACCCAGGGGAGATAACAGGTGAATGGTATGAATGAACAATAGAATGACCAGGAGGGAAGGTCGGAGAGGACCAGGGCTGACCTGCTGTTTGACAACTTAATTATACCAGGAACTCTAGTCAACTCCTTGCTGGGTTAACCGACCTCCTCCATGTGGTCTGAAAAATTTCCTGATGCAGCCTTCGATAGGCTGGAGCCTTCTGATAGCAGCCTACCTGTATGCCCACACCTCTGCTCACACAGTCGAGTCTGTGGGTGAGAGCCAACTGTTTGTTCTCAAACCTGCTTACACTAGGCATACTTGTTATTTTAATAATGTACATTCACTTAGTATTACACGCACTGGTGAAATTAATGTGAAAAGAGAGAGCGTTGTTGTTTCTATGACGATCCAGTTGAATGGTTTTTGAATAACCTGATAAAGAAGAGTCAGCTAAGGCAATTGTTGATCAATTTGGTATAGGTGAAAGAACTGAAAAAAACGTGAAAAAATAGTAGAAATCTGAGCGGGGCCAACATACAGTTGCTTTAAAAATATTTTCAAAATTCTTGATGCACTTAAAGATGTCAAAACTGGGTGGTTTAAGTGTGGCTTATTTAAGAAAGAAACTCAAATTATGGGCTACGATAATCAAAGAGAATCTTTCATTCTACCTCAAAAGGCTGTTGAGTGAATGTTTCTTTGTACATTTTACATTAATTTGAGGTCATTAAGGTATGTATGTATCACTTTTTCATACCAACTCACCAACTTTTCCAATGAACCAAACAGCTACAGCTCTGCACTGTGTCAGATAAAGGGGTATCTTCTCTATTACAAGGTACCTCCTTTGTCACCAACTAGGCAGCCTGTGGAATTGGGGCAACCTGCAGCAGGAGGCCTGGCATGTCACCAGCCCCAGCAGACCTGGTCTCAATGACCCAGGAGAGGTGTAGGTCAGCGTGGGTGGCAGCTGCTTTGATGACGTTGCCTCAGACAGTATTTTGTATTGGCCAAATGTGAAACTCAGGAAAATGTAACCCAGATTTGGTTTTTATTTAAGCAGAATCATCCCAAGAAATTTCCAACCCATCTGGGTCAAAATGGGCCAGCTAAGTTGAGAAGTAAAGTACCATGTGTGGAAGGCAAAGCCGGTACCTCTACTGATGACCATGAGCTACATGATCAGATGCTGGTGGCCCCCTTCCTGTACAGCTAATGTCACACGTTGGGCAGTTGGTTCACCATAACTGGGAAGGCAGCAAGTAGCTACTGAGGGCAATAGCTATTGAGAGCAAGTAGCAAGTAGCTTCCTCTTGGCACAGACCTTCCCTGGGGCTTGTCTGTCTGCACTTCCTTGGTGCCTCAACAGCACTCCCTCTGACACCTAACTAATCAAGTGACCACTGGCAACAAAGCCAAGTCCTCGAACAGGGCATCCAGGGGACTTGCTTTAAGCTCAGATGTTGGTTTTTCTTGGATGTGTAATTTCTCACTGAAAAATCTTTGTCTTCTTGCCCTCATGCTGGCATCTCATGCCATCTCAATCTCACCAGCATCCTACCACAGCAAAAATGGAACACGATTAAAAACTCTATAAAGTCAATAGATTCATGTGCTACATGTGCAATTAAACATTTAAAAAGTATTGAACCTATCCTATTTCAATGACCTTAAAAAACTCACTCCCTTTCCAAGCTTTCTCTCTTTACTAGTGACATCATAATTTAACTCAATCTCCTAAACTAGGGAACATATAAATCACTTATTTCTCTGTTGTCCTCATGCCCTCTAACTACTTCTGAGAACAATGGAATTTTAGCATTGGGAGTAACCTTGGCGACCATCAAGTACAGACACCTCATTAACAGATGGAAAAATTAAAGGCTCAGAGAAGTGAAGTGATTTACCCATGGACTAGTTAGTGGTAGAGGTGGAACTAGAATTGAGGTCTAGTTCAGAGGAATGTCTCCACTATGACATTCACTGCCCCATTTACTCATTCACTGATTCATTCATTCACCCATTTAAAAATCGGAGTGCCTCTTATGTGCCAAGTGGTATTTTAGGTCTGGGGAAATCACCACAATAGCAGAGCAGCTACCACATGTATGGAGCTTACTGAATGTCAGGCAGTGTTCTAGGGACTTTCCAAATGTCCACTTACTTATTCTCGTAATAACCTATGAGGTGAGTTCTGTTATTAGCCTCATTTCATAGATGAGGGAATTTTGCAGGTTATTCCCCATTGTTGGGGACCCAGAATGACCCAGCTTTAGAAAGCTGCTGAATCTACTCTAAACATCTCTCCTTGACTACGAAGACCTTTTAATAAACTTGCCCATTCCAAATTATTCAACCTTCGTAATCACTCTTCATCAACATAAAATCTCTGAGTACTCAGATCAGACTCCTCACCGTCCTCTTCTTGCCCCCATCACGCTGCCTCTCCCAGCCCAGGATGCTTGGAGGGTAAGCCTATAACTCACTCAAATCTGTGACAGAGCAATTGACAAAGAGTGGGTGGCCAGTACATGTTTGCTGAATGAGTGAAAGTTTCCTGGTTCTTCATCAATCCAAGCCATACCTATTCTGAATTCTTAGCTCTGGTTTCACATCCTTTCTGGCAAGAAGGCTACCACAGAACAAGTAAGATCGAACATCACCCTGGAAGTAATAATACCAACCACCACCATGCTTTTTATTGACTCCTTACTACATGCCATACACCTAAACTTATACCCATTTTTAATTAACAAAACAACGCTGAGAGACAAGTACCATTATTATTCTGGTTTTAATATGAGATTTCCAAGGCACAGAGAGGTTAAGTAACTTGCCAAGATCACACAGCTAGTGGAGCCAGTCAACAATGGGCCCATTGTGCTGACATCTCTCTTGGTAAATACTGATTTTCTGGCTAAACTGGAAATGGCAATGAGTAATTTGCATCCTGCACTCTAAGTTCTCCATCTGATTTGCCAAAATGGAGGTACAGGAATTCAAAATAATTTTGCTTTAGGGAGAGCCTAACATTAATTGTTATTTTCATCCCTGTTCCTGCTGCACAACTAAAATTATAAAAATCTGTAGAGAAAGGGAAATTGTGTCCTGCTGTATGCAGGGTAAGACGGCTGATGGTTGTGGGTTTATATTCAAGTAAATATTTGAATCTTACTTGGCCTCAGTTTTCTGGTCCCACTATCCTCCCACTCTCTCCATTGCCTGGAAAAATACTGGTTTTCACATTCACAAGGGCACACGGCTGCTGCATGGAACTGAGCTACAATTATTCAGATTCCAAGTTGGGCTTTTGTGAGCAGTATTTCAGCCCCAGAAGCACTTATTTTATGAGCAGCCAAGTGCTGCTCCCGTTCTGAGCCAGAAACCTGGCTGGACCCACTTATCACAGCACAGTTCCAGAGGGACCCGCAGTGGTGCCTGCACACAGCTGATGAGACAGTCACAGGGACCTGTCCTCTGCATCAGGGCTGTGCTCCAGACTTGAAAACAGAACAACTGTAGCCTTGTAGGGCAATGACTTGCCAGGATTCTATCCTCAGGACTGTTCCCAATTGCTGGTTTCCCATCCCTCAGAAGTATAATCCAGAGGGTATAGCTTATCACAGGGGCTCAGGGACAGACTCCCCAGAATATCACCCAGCTGCAGCTGGCTCTGCCTTCCTGTGAAAGCATCCTGCAAAGAACCCACGGAGAAGGTGCAGGTCTCATCACGCACACCAGTCCCAAGGAGAGCTGCTGTGGGCTGCCCCAGCAGCTGGGTCGGTGATGAGGGCACTGTGCAGAGGGACAGAATGAAACGAGCATCTGAGTTCAAATTCTGCTGTGTTTACTGAGTGTCTGTTAATCACCTTTAATAAAGAACCAGAACCCTCAGCAAATATTTACTGAGTGCCAACTATGCCTCAGGCATGCACTGTGCACTGGATGATAAGAGAATGAATGAGGTGGACCAGCCTGCCCTCATGGAGCTTACAATTGACCAGGCATCCAGACAAGTAGCATACAGTGTGAGAGGTATGAGGATGGGGCCTCTCTGGACCTCAGCTTTATCTGAAGTATCGGGATAATGTAACTTTAGAAGACTGACACGTAGATGTGTTAAACAGTCTTCACAGAGAGAATATGGCAAGAGACTAATAGATCCCTGCCTGGACAGAGGGAATTCCCTGCTTACCCAGCTCCCAGCTTCACCCACTCTTTGTTTTCTTAGGTAGGGTAACTTTTGTATACCCCTTCCACGGTCTGTTACACTTTTCCTCTAATGACCGCCTATCAAAAACACCAATGAATTATTAAAAAATCTTAACAAGTCTGTGAGAAAGGAAATGGACAGGGGGAGGTGGCACCTTGATCCAGCCCTCCCTGAAACCCTGCCCCAGGAAGGAGTGGTCAATAGCCACCAGCCCAGTTCTCCATGGCCCTACAGAATGAGCATTAGCCACACTTGATAGAACTTTTCTTCCCTTCCCCTATTCCCTTCCAATGCCTGCACCTTTCAGCGTGCACTGTCTTTCATCATTATGTGGAACAGGAACCTTAGCACATGTCAACAATATGAGAAAGGGTTAAGCAGGGCAAAGACCCTCCTCCTCAAGCATCATGGTTGCCCAGACAGCAAGGATTTGCCTTCTGCATTCCCAGGAGTAACACTAAGTGTGGGCCATGGCTTCAGTGCTTACCATAGTCAGTGTTTTCAGGCTCCCAGCAGTTCGAAGGCCAGAAGTATGGGGCCTGCAAAAGAGCACAGGTGTCAGGACTCAGAACGCTAGCACTTGCCCTCCCCTGCCTGGGGCCCAGGGGCAGCCCTCCCCTGCACCCAGTGAGGACCCCTCCCTATGACAGGCTCTGTCCACGTGCTGACACCACACCCTAACTCTCTCCTGTTCTTAATGCAGCAGAGGCCAGTCAACATTTTAATCTAGGTGTTGAGAAATGAAACCTGAGGTAAGCCAAATAAATGCAAAAATGAGAAACAGTTTACAGGGCAAAAACTTCTTATCCCGAGGTAACAGAAGTCTAATACAGAAGTCAGACAAGCACTGTTTGCTGGGGCACAAGCCCCAAGTTCCTTTGTCCCTTTGCCAAGGACAGAATGGTGTCCTCCTAAATTTCTATGATGAAGCCTTAAGCCCCAGTGTGACTGTATGTGAAGTAAGGAAGTAATTAAGGTTAAATGCGATCATAAGGGTGGGGCCCTGATCAGACAGGATTAGTGTCCCTATAAGAGGAAACATCAGAGAGCTAACAACCTCTCTCTCTCTCTCTCTCCACCCTGTGAGGACACAGTGAGAATCAACCATCTGAAAGCCAGGATGAAAGCTCTCCTCACAAACTGAACCCTACTTGAAAATCTTAGACTTCCAGCCGCCAGAACCGTGAGAAATACATTTCTGCTGTTTAAGCCACCCAGTCTGTGGTATTTTGTTATGGCAGCTGAGCAGACTTAGACATCCTTTGACCCTGTCTGAAGAACTCCACTCCTAAACCCTTAGGTTAGATCTTGACACAACCCCTTATCCTCTGCTCCAATTCACTGTGGGACAGGATCTGAGGAATGGGAATGGTTGGGAAGTGTTAATAGGTAGTGAATAGAAGGCAGCATGATATAGTAGAAACATCAAGGACTCTGCTATCAGGCTGACCTAGGTTCAAATCAAGGCTGTCCCCTGGATTTACTCAATGCCCCGTTAATTCTCCAAGTACCTCAGTTTTACCAACTGTAAAATGGGAGACATTAATCCCCCCAAAGTTTGTTCTTCAGAATAAATGAGGAGATAATGTGTAAAGCACACGGTGAACAGTAGGTTCTCCATGAGGGATTTTTACTACTATGCGGGCAGGGCAACAAATGGCCCAGACAAAAGTTCGCTTGGTTGTCCCAGTGCTGGTGGGAGGTAAGGGTTGCTCCCTTAAATACTGTCAGTTTTTTAGGTAGTTCTAATCTGAGATCAGATGATGATGAGAAGAAAAGGTTCTTCAGGAGGACAAGCTGCATCCCTACCTGGAAACGATAAAAGGTGCCATCATCCTTCATGGTGAGAACATGGTCCGAGATTGGAAAGATGTAGCCCTGGGCAGCTACGAGGCTTCCCAAGTGTATTGCTTCAACTTCAGGGACAGGGCAGAAGAGAGAGAGAAGTAATTAGGAAGCTGTCAGAATGCAGGGCTACTTAGCTGACATGTAAGTGGGGCGGGGTAGGGGGAGCAGAAAGGCAACCGGAAGTCAACCATCATCACCCCCAGATCACTGCATGATTGGCTGATTGATTGGTTGATACCTTCCGATAGGGCTGCACTGGGCCGGGGGGAGATGTCAATGGTTGGGGAGGGCCACATGTGCCTCGATCCCCTGGATCCTAGCTCTGAGAGTCTGACATTGTTAATGCCCCTAAAGCTTCCAGAAGAAAGTCCACCTTCCCAGTTAAGACCATGGGCTTTGGTGTGGATAAGCCTGTATTTTATTAAGTGAGATGCTTCACAGAAAGTGCTTAGCAGTGTCTGGTGCAGGGTAAGTGCTCAGTAAGTGCTGGCAGCCCTGATTCATATTTTTAGTTTCATCCTTGTGTTTTTTTTAAGTCACCGCCAGCAATGAGCATGCAGCCCATAGAGTCTTCGGACTCACATTGCATTTCCGGACATGACAGTCCCGCCAGCGATGAGGAGGGTGTTACCCTTCTTTTACGGACATAGAGGGAAAGCTCAGTATCTTAGAGAATTGGAGGATGGGCAGGCAGTGCAGTGGGCAGTAGCCTAGGGAGGCCAACCTAATAGAAATACTTATATTTTTGCCACAATCAACCTGTTGTTTTGTTACTTTAGCACCAGCCATAAACAGATTCACATAAATGGTTACAAATTTCTATTTACTCTGAGCAGAGCTAAGGAAAAAGAAATCTAAATGGCTCTATCACACATTATAATCTTTCACAAATATAAAAGTATTCTAACTGATAAAAACTAATTTTTGGCTGTAGAAATTATTTGACACACTCAGGGAGTCTCTAGGAATTATTAATTTCATAAGCTCTGAATTTTTCAAAGTGACTTGTATTGGTTTTATTTGCAAACACTTCAAGAGTCTTAGCAAATAATTAAACCTCAGTTGTGGATCAGGCAATGTAATTTTAAGAGCTGGCTCTAGAAGGCTGCTCTGTGACAGTGCTACAACTTTCAAGAGGTTGTATATAATCCAGCCGTTTTGCATATTTAGAACCTGCTCTTCTCTGGAAGGAGCGTACACTTGTAACTGGGAGAATCAGAATGAAGGGAGTTGTATTTTACTTGCTTAGTGGTGACCAGTTGGCTTTTGAAGTCTATATGCTTCAAGAACCGTGGGTCCAGCAGAAAAGGGAAGTTCCATCACCTGCAACTGCTCCTTCTCCAGGGAAGGAGGAGTAAAATCCAGTAAGAAGGGGACTTTCATGTCACCAATCTAGGAGCTAGAAGTCTCACTTCATTCTTCAAAAGGCTTTCGCTTGGAGATGTGGCAGATGGGAAGGAAGAAGAGAGGAAGGGCAGATGTTGGATACCCACCTTCCCAGGGCTTTTGTTTGCCTCATTTCTGCTGGTGAATTGTTCTTAACTTCTCCTGCTCATCTACTTCTCAGAAGCCCGGACAGGTCTCAACACCTTCATGTCCTCCCAAGGGCATCAAAGTATAACAGACCATCATAGATAAGACTCTTATCATTCGGGACCTTTCACAGAAGCTTCTCGTACTGGCACCAGTGGATTCCTGAAGCCTGTCCTACCACTAGGGGGTTCAGGGTTCTCTGAATATACCATTACTGCTGCTACTACCACCACTGATGATAACGATAAAACCCTTGTCAGAAATAGGATGACTGTTTTAGAAGGGCAAAGAAAACAGTGCTCTTGGAAGAGAAGAGACCACCACGAAGACGGGTGACTCTACATACATGTAAATGAACTGGTAGAGACTTATTCAGTCCAGTTTTCACAAGTGGACCATCAGAAGTCCAGGCTGTGTAAGGCAAACACGTAGGGTAGTTGATTTGGTTTTCTTCCTTAAAAGGATTAGCACTCATAGTTTCCCCCTGAGGATTAAGAACTTGACTAGAATTAAGAATTTCCACTACTCATGAGAGTGGCCATTAATCATGATGGGGAAAATGGCTAGTGTTCCGTTCATGACCTGCTTTTCTGGCACTCAGATTTCTGGCGCCTATGTTTGATTGAACTCTATGTAAGTTGTATTGTTTCATAGTCAGTAGTCTATTAGGAGCATCAGATTAAAATATAGGAATGCCCAAGCTGACATACTGACCCCGGCAAGGAATCACAGCTGAAGGTCACACACCTAGAATGGGCACTTGAAAAAAATCTTTAAAAAGCATAGCAATTGAAGGGCATTCAATTTGAGGCAAATAGATCTAATCCCCAAGAACATCAGAATACATTAGTGGATGTTTGTAAATATGACCTTCAGGCAGCAAGAATACTTAGTTAAGATGGGGAGTACATAATAAATTCAGAAAAGTTTTCTTATCTAGAATTTTCATTTTATTCTGGAACCCTGCATTTTCTAATTTTGCTATGAAAATAAATTTTACTGCTTATTTGCTGGTGGGAGGACAGATTTGGAAACTGTTTTACTGGCCAGGGTTTGCTGTTGCTTTCCTGGTGAGGTAATTGCATTGCACAATTAAAGTCGAAAAAAAATCATTCCTTCACTTCTTGCAGAAGCAGAGAACAGGAGTCTTAGCAAATAATTAAACCTCTTAATTGTGGATCAGGCAATCTAATTTTAAGAGCTGGCTCTAGAAGGCTGTTCTGTGACAGTGCTACAACTTATCTTTAATTGCTGTGGCTAACCAGAGTCCATCTCATTTCCCATGTTATTGTATTGGGCTCTTTGGCATTCTAAATAGTTGCTCATTTCCTCCAAGGGTGATTTAAATTTAAAGATAGGAATTCAGTGGAGAAAATAAATTAATTCTATTTGTAAATAGAGTGATTCTACATCTTGGAATTCACGTGTATAAGCCCAGTTCTCAGGAGAACAGGAGAATCTGGTTTGGAATTTGGTTATGGGTTGTTCACTAATATCATGGGGGTAAAGTCAGGGTCAAGGGTCAGGTACCTGGGTCCTCAATGGAGAGGTTCTTCATAAGCCACTGCACAATGTCAGTACCTGCAAGGATAAAGCAATGTCAACTGAAGACCTCATGGATGTTTAACTCTGTGCCAGAAGAAACATGGTTACCCAAGAGACTCCTAATTCCAATTAGCACACACCTGGAGAGCTAGGTAATACTGACACTTTTCCATCCTAACCAACCCTTTCCAACCATTAGTATGCTCTGTAGTCACAGTCCCATTCTTTGCCCCCCAAAATCCACTTCTGATGACTAAGGATGGTCTTGTAGCCACATTTCTCTAGGGCGCTTCTGGAGGGGCCTTCATGAGAATACATATTTTGATGACAGGCTAGAGGAAGTCTTATCACGCCTGGCCCCAGACCATTTCCTGAGGGAGGACACTCCTTTTATCTCACTATCCTCAACTGACGAGGCCTGCCCAACACAGATGACCTCACAGGTTCCTGAAAAAAATCTCTAATTTCCTCTGGCCTGGGCTCATCCGGAATGAATAAGCCCCTGTGTCTGTGGGAGAAGCTTCTATGTGTTTACCAAAACCTCTCTCCTCTATGCCCTGGGCCACAGCTAGATTACATTTCTAGACTCTCCTGCAGCTGGGTATGCACTGAGTTCTGACAATGGAATGTGGGTGGAAATGCCATAAGCAATTTCCCGACTCAGACCATAAAACTCCTGTGTGACCCTCCACACTCCACACCGTTCATCCCCATCTGCCGGCTGAATGGAGAGAACTCCAGGGGCCATGGGGAGGGCAGAGCCATGTGTGGAAGGAGCCTGGGATCCTGAACAGACATGAAGATTGAGGACCATTTGGGTGACCTGATTGAAAAATAAACTTGGTCGTGTTGAGCCCCGGATATTTGAGGGTTATCTGTTTTGGCATCTAGTAATGCCTTAACTAACATAAAATCTTAAGAATCAGAAGGGACCTTTAAAGCTTATCTACTCCAACCCTAGCCAATACACAAGCCCCATCCACAACACCCTGGACAAAAGGTGCTGTAATTTCCATTTGGAAAAACCCTAGTGCCTGGAAACTCACAAATTTCCTGTTGGCCAACCTGTCCCAGTTAAATCATCTTCGATTTCTCTCAACAGAAATTTGCCCTTCTCTGAATTCTTCTCTTTGGTCTTAGTTTTGCCCTCTGATGACAGAAAAACGAACTCAGACCTCTCACTCTGTGAGACAATCCTTCAACTATTTAGACAGTCTGTCCAATGTATTATCAATGTTCTCCTTGAGTTTCCAACCCTCCAGGTGAAACATGCCTGGATTCCTCAGCTGCTTCTTCTGATGACATGATCTGGGGTCCCTCCTCATTTTGGTCACAATTCTCAGAATATATTTGCTTTTGTTTGCCTCCCTTTAAATGTGGCACCTAGAACCAGTGTTCTTAGGCCAGTGCACTGGGAGGTTCTGAACTTCTATGCAATCTACCTTTGTCACCCCAAAATCTCACTTTAAACCAGTTCAGATCTTCGAATGTGGCTTTGTCACCTCAGGATGAAATGTTTGATGGAAAACAGCCTGAAAAGGGCAGCATTTCTAGATATCCGAGTCTTGTCATGGGTCTGAGGCATGGTGTGAGGGAGAGGGCCTGCCAGAAGCTCTCCTGGGATGGACTCCCAGCTAAAACACTGGAAACCCCAGCAGAGGGGTTGAACGAATATTGCCCTTTTTCCAGAATTAAAATTGCTCAGAAATTTGACTGGGGTTCAGAAGTGAGACCAGTACAGGCCTGAGTACCTAGACATTTTGTTTCTCTCTGGCTCTCTGGAAGGTGAATGAACCCTGCACAGTAGACTGTCCTGCCCTTTCTGTGCTGTTCCCCCATCCCAGGACTAGCCTCCACTGACATGGCCCTGCAAGTTCCCTGCATTTCAACGTCAAAAGCAAGACTTCTAAGCATTTCCCCACTCCTCCCAGATGGCATCTATGAACTAAACTTTGGATCAAAAACACTCCTTTTCATTCACATTCTTAGAAAGGGAGAGTATATTTCTGTGTGTGTGTGTGTGTGTGTGTGTGTGTGTGTGTGTGTGTGTGTGTGTGTGTGTGTGTGTGTGTGTGTGTGTGTGTGTGTGTCCACTTCCTCCAAATTATACAAGTTCAACATTTGTCCTAGGAAATGAAGAACAAAGCAGAAATCAAATACAAACTGTAATCCCAAGTTGGGGGTTGGGGGGAGAGACTCTAACCTGTTTTTCCCTCAAAAGAAAAACAGTCCTTTTTTTTGTGGGTTGCCTAGAAACGGAGAGGTTTCCAGCATCAGCAACAGCTCTCCCCGGGGCAAGAGGATTATCTTTCTGCTGAGCTTGCTGAACCATTATTTATCACCTGCCAAGATTGATTAGTCACCCTGGGACAATGACAGCCCTTCCTTTCCCCTGTTAATTACTGTCATCATTAATATCCATGTCACTAATTACTATTCATTCACATTGAAACTCCTTCCTTGCTATCATATCCGCTCCCCCCTCCACCCCACCCCAGCCTTCGGTACCATTGTCTCGGTTTCTACCCGCTTTGGCTTTCTGCACTCATGTCCGGCCTAATTGTTCTTCCCAGTCCCCCAGGCTCCAGTTTGCATTCACAGAGCTGAAGGATCACATGTAAGCATTTTTTTGGTAAAGAAGTGAAGTCACAAAAGCTCCTGGCTTTCTCCCCTAGCACTGCGGGAACCACAGACCTGGGTTTCCTGTCGCTGGCGTAGCCACCATGACAGTCACTGTCTCATCTGGGGACGCGTGTAACTGTCCTCAGGCCCTAGTGGGGCTGGGCTGCTGCCCTTGGCTGTCCAGGCCACTGTCTTCAGTCTGTAGCAGCACCCACGCCACCGCCATCCCTGACACGCATGGGCACTGCTTGGGGGACCTGAGCACACACAACAATGTCTGGGGCTGTGGACAGTCTCATTCTCGTGGGCGTGGGGTATTTTAGGCTTCATTGGACTAATCCAGGAAAGGCCAGCCTCAGCCTTGTGTGCAGGCAGTAAACCGTTGCAGGTTCAGCCTCAGGAACAAGTAAGGAAAGGAAATCTGTCATAATATTATGTCCTTTATAAGACCTATAATTATTACACTGTAGAACCAGGCAAGAATAGTCCAAATAACCATCAGGAGAAAACTTTTTTTTTTTTTTTGCAGTACGCGGGCCTCTCACTGTTGTGGCCTCTCCCGTTGCGGAGCACAGGCTCCGGACGCGCAGGCTCAGCAGCCATGGCTCACAGGCCCAGCTGCTCCACGGCATCTGGGATCTTCCCGGACCGGGGCGCGAACCCGTGTCCCCTGCATCAGCAGGCGGACTCTCAACCACTGCGCCACCAGGGAAGTCCAGGAGAAAACATTTTTATTCTTCTCTTTTCTCTTTCCTTTCTTCCTTCTTTCCTCCTTCTCCCAATCATTCTTTCCTTCTTATTCTAATAAGAATTTGCAGCAGACTTTTTTTTCCTGTTCTATCTAAAATTGATTGTTGCCTTTTGTTACTACTATTGGATTCTGGTTCTTATCTTTGCCAAGCTGTCCTGCCTGCCAAGGACTTAAAGCCAATACAAAAACATTAAGAACAAGTGCACGATAGCTGCTCTTTATTCCCAAAGATCCCAAAACATTCGGCCGAAAGTTTTCTTTTTGAGGCTAATTTATCAACACTTATACTAGGGACATCCACGAAATACACCAGAGAGCACCTGAAACACTTCTTTACAACCTGCGTGGATTGTTAATATATTTCAGTATATATTTATTATATGCAGGTATGCTTTATGATTCTGTATGTGTTGTAAGCCCGTATTTCAATTATGTCTTATATATGTATATAATTATGTTTATTGGCAGGGCATTTGGATGCAACTTGGGGATTCAATACATAAATTATGGCTCATCCATACAACAAATATTTATTGAACACCTACCGTATTAAATGAAAAAGCATATTGAGAACAGTGTATTTTTACAATAGTATGTATAGATATATACAAATGTGGAGGAGAAAAGTTCTGGAAGTATATTTATTTATTTATTTAATTAAATTAATTAATTAATTTATTTTTGGCTGCACTGGGTCTTTGTTGCGGTGTGTGGGCTTTCTCTAGTTGTGGTGAACGGGGGCTACTCTTCGTTGCAGTGTGCGGGCTTCTCATTACGGTAGCTTCTCTTGTTGCGGAGCACGGGCTCTCGGCGCGCGGGCTTCAGTAGTTGTGGCTCATGGGTCCTAGAGCGGAGGCTCAGTAATTGTGGTGCACGGGCTTATTTGCTCCGCGGCATGTGGGATCTTCCCGGACCAGGGCTTGAACCCGTGTCCCTTGCATTGGCAGGCAGATTAACCACTGCGCCACCAGGGAAGCCCTGGAAGTATATTTAAACTGTTAAATTTAGGTTACCCTGGGGAGAGGCGAGGGTCAAATTATGGGAAATTTCTGTTCTTTACATTTCCTTATTATTTGGAGTTCATAGAACATTTGTATATTACTTTTGCACTGAGAAAAATCCTTTTTTTGTTAAGGAGCAGAGAGGGAAGAATTGGCCTCTGAGCCTGAAGTGGTGCGAACGTGGAGAGTCAGGGCTACAGACCCAAGTAGAGAGTAGGGTGCACAGCCTTCTGCTGCCCCAGGTCCTGTGCTCTTGCTGTGCTCTGGGGCAAGGGCAGAGGGATGAAGGCAGGACTCGCAAAGCTGTCTTCCCTCCTGAGGAGTACAGAGCAGGCGGCTTGGTCATGGGCCTCAAACTGGTCACCGTCTGGCCATCTGGCTGGCTCTGAGCCTTGCAGTGGCCTTCTGTAGACTCTAATAGGGCTGTTCACCACAGTCCTGGACAAAGGGTGACCCCCAGCACCCCTCCCTGGGGTTTGCTTACTTGTTTACTTGGGTAGAGTGAGACTCAGTGACCTCTTCCCAAGTTGTATTAACTCTAGGTCAATATAAATTGGATTTGAGTAAGCTGGTAAGATCTTCCGAGATTTTAGAAAGTTCTCCTTCTGGCTTGCGGGAGACTCTTACTATAAAAGTGTTCTATTCTGGGCTTGGCTTCTGGC